AAAAAAAAATCCGACCCGCCGACTGGAATTTCGGAAAACCATGTTATGCAAAACGAAAAATTAACTTTGTGTGGCCTTATAAGAATCATGTAACTTACTGCAGAAATGCATAAAATGATCGAGTCTCGTTCGAAAATAGAGATTGAACTCGATGAATAAATTACTGCGCATCGATTGACAATTTTTTTTAAATCGAACATTCAACGAATATCGGTCATATAAAAAAGAATTGAAATTAAATTCTGTTATGTAATGTACACAATATTCTAAATAAAAGTTCTTCAATGATCGAAAAACCGAGTTTAAGATAAAATGATTTTCGAAATTCATTGTTCTAAAAGTTATACGATTTTTATTGTATTGTCGTGAGATTACACATAGGAATGACATTAATCCCAATAAAGAAAATTTTAGTCACACTCGTATGAATGAGATGAGGCTGCGCATGATGATAATGTAATTTTATAATTTAGGCCATTTTCTGTAAATGTTGTAAATGTTGCCTACTTAATGTTTGCTATGTGCACTTCATGCGCAGGCTGCGCAGTCTATGCATGAAATATGAATTTGACGTACAAATGTACTTAACTGTACACAAAATCGAAGAATTAGCCAAGTGGTGTAACATGGACTTATCTTTATTCATGTTAAATTTTTTAAAAAAACTGCTTAATTGACAATGCTGCCAGATGATTGCCTCTTTATAATATTTAATAACCTTTTAGGTTATTATAAATGCTTATTTACATGCCTTCTCGTCATTGGTGTAGAAACGTTGTACCAATATTATGGAGAAATTCTTCCGCTTATTTACTAAATAGAAAATTAATTAGAACGTGTATTTTAACATTAAATGAAGAAGAACGAAAATTATTAATTTCATTTAAAATAACTATTCCAAATGGTCAAAAGCTATTATTTAATTATACAACATTTATTAAATCACTAAATTTTAACTCAAATATTGGAGTAGAAGATTGGCTTATACATGAAGGACTTGAAAATCTTGATTATTCTGAAAGTACTGTAATTATGGTTAAGCATGCTTTAATTGCAATGTTTTTACGGACCGGTAATCAAATTGAAGATTTATATATTTATGATTTTGCAAGAATTGTCCCAGATAAATTATGGCGGTTTGCAAAAAGGTGTGACCCCATGATTTTCATGATGATGATGCGGAGAATCTTTGAGATTCTAAATAGGGAATCTAAATTTAAGAATCATTAAAAATCCGTAATAATTATATAATTATTTGATCAGTGATTAATAGTGATCAATATAAAAAGCTATTTATGTATTACGTAAATATTATTATAATTATTTGATCAGTGATTAATAGTGATCAATATAAAAAGCTATTTATGTATTACGTAAATATTATTATATTGTTTTCCTTTTCATAATTCTTTATCGTATTTCTCTTGAAAAATGGCCGATTTTCAAGAAACAAAATTAAAATATCGTCGAGGAACTTGTTTAAGTTGCCGAAAATGCATGTATTGTGGAATTGATTTGCAACAAGAAAAATGTGATTGCAACTTATCTGAAGTGCCACATAAAAATAATCGGACAGGTGCTGTCA